AGTGCGTTGCCGACCTTTTAGGGATTAGGGTTTTGAAGATTTAGAGTCTGGGGGAGGGGAAGGATTGGGCTTCCGGTAACCTCACTCACACGACGAAACACAACGCTGTGGTTGTTTCACGGCGGTTTCCTGAGAGGCCGTGGTATCACTCCAGTCGAGCCGACCCATTCGTGCCGAAGCATGGCTCTAACACACTTAAACTTTTCTATGAATAAGATTAACAATTAGTCGTTTTTAAAGTGTATTACTTATTACTTCATAGTATAAAACAAAGTCTCTTTCTCTTTTGCTATATCCCTATGTATTGTTTAATCTTTAAAACTACGCAACGGATTTTAATGCGATTTTTTATGGATAGAGTGATTGAAGAGGTGGGTTGTGTTTATACATTCATTAGGTAGTGGACAAATTAAGTATAAGCACTACGCCGGATTGCTAGTTTACAGGAGACAACAGGAGACAATCAAAATCAATCAGTATCAACACATGCACGACAATTGTGTTCTAATTGAAACGCTGCTAGCGTTAACACATAACATGATAATCTATTATTAATTGTGGCTGTGACGTCACGATTGTTTGACCGTCAAATAACATAATTATTTCCCAAGATAATATACGCTATATGTGTCGTGGTAACCCAGAGGTTAAGGCGCCCGCTTCTTACGCGGGGTCGAAACCTGACGTGTAACAATGACTTTTACCTAGTTATATGTACTTTCTATAAATATTTAGACATCACTGACATACGGTGAAGGAAAACATCGCGAGGAAACCTAAACTTATAGTTTGAAATCGGCTTGAACAAGCCTGGTGATGAATGCTCAAACCTTCTCCGTGTGAGAAGAGACCTTTGCTCAGCAGTGGTCACTTTTGTGTTGATGATGCGATGCCACGATTTGCACAAGGACGTAGGCTACTTAGTTTTTTTTTTTTATGTAATAGCTCGGCAAACGAGCAGACGGATTACCTGATGGTAAGCAATCAGCGCCGCCCATGGACACTCGCAACGGAGGAGTTACGAGTGCGTTGCCGACCTTTTAGGGATTAGGGATTTGGAGATTTAGGGATTTAGGGATTGAGGAGGGATTGGGGAAGGGGAAGGATTGGTCCTCCGGTAACCTCACTCACACGGCGAAACGCAACGCAGTGGTTATTTCACGCCGGTTTTCTGTGAGTATATAAATACTGCTTAAAATTAAATATGGTTGCTATGTTATAGTCAACCGGTGCCTGATCCAACACATTCAGGATTCATAATTACAATAGTAGCGAGCTAGAAATTTGAACTATTATGGTAACTGCCGAAATTTCTGCATCTCAGTTATTTTGACCAAATATTTCGTCCCTGCAGAGTTATTTAGTGCATCCGAGGTCCGAGCCCAGCTAAATAGACGAGCTAAGACGAGTTGCTATTGGTTTCCATTGTGTATAATTTGTGTTCCTCAATGAAGACTAATTCTTTATCTTAATGCCTATAGAAATACACGTTTAATTGCGAGAAATGTGTTTATCATAAGGTGTTATAAATATATTTTAGCGCAGGACATTTCTTCATTACGGTATGCAAAATGTAGAATACCAAATAATAATAATATATGCATTTTTTTATTTGTAATTGGTCGGCAAACGAGCAGACGGATTACCTGATGGTAAGCAATCAGCGCCGCCCATGGACGGAGGATTTACGAGTGCGTTGCCGACCTTTTAGGGATTAGGAATTTGGAGATTTAGGGATTGAGGAGGGATTGGGGCAGGGAAGGATTGGACCTCCGGTAACCTCACTTACACGGCGAAACACAACGCTGTGGTTGGTTAACGCAGGTCTTCTGTGAGGCCGTGGTATCACTCCGGTCGAGCCGACCCATTCGTGCCGAAGCATGGCTCTCCCACACTTATACCCATTATAAAGAGAATACCTATTAAAACATAATAACAGCTTTATAATTTTTCTTACTTATTTATAAAACAAATCAGTATTAGGTACTTAAATATGTGTACTTACTATGTACTCAATATGGCTTGCAATATGCATTCTAATAAAATTTAAAGAAACATTTTAATAAATTCAAATAAGAACCTATTGAACTTAATAGGTTTGTTAGTACCCTATTTTAGTACTTACTGGAAAATGTAAGATATTTTTACTACCCTAATAGCCTGGCTATTTAATTGTTATCATCAGTTCAAGGTCTCAGGTAACAAGTGCACTGATTCTAACCAATTACGTTAACAAGTTAAGTGTAGGAGAGCCATGCTTCGGCACGAATGGGTTGCCCCGACCGGAGTGATACCACGCCCTCACAGAAAACCGGCGTGACACAACCACAGCGTTGTATTTCGCCGTGTGAATGAGGTTACCGGAGGCCTAATCCCTTCACCCATTTATTCCCAGTATCCTTAAATATCTGTAACCCTTATCCCTTAAAGACCGGCAATGCACTCGTAACTCTTTTGGTGTTGCGGATGTGCGGCGGCGCTGATTGCTTACCATCAGGTAATCCATCTGCTCGTTTGCTGACTTATACAATAAAGAAAAATAATCAGTAACTGATGTATCGACGAAAAAGAAGTCGGAGGACCTTGTGCATATTGCATTATTCATTTACGAACTCAAATGCAGGCGAAAACAGAGCTTAAACTCAAAAGGTTTTTAAGCCCCACTTAAACTATAAAATGTAAGGGAAAAGGGTTTTTTAACAAGACAGTATAGTTAGTTTTTGTTTTGTAGTTAAAGAAAAACATTACTAAGGTAAATATCTGAACCAACGATTTGCACGTTAACACGACTTTTATTAAAACAGATACTAATATTTAGAATTGTTGTAGTCGAATTGTTCAATTACTACTTAACGCAGCTGAGAACGGAGCTAGGGGTGCAAGAAAATGATGTACCGCGGTCCGCCTTAAAAGAAGTAGTTTTTAGTCAGATAAAGTATCTCTTTGTTACGTTCTCTCTCGACCTAACCAGGCAATGAGAAGTCAGGAAATGATTATCCCCCTAGAGAAGGTTTGAACATTAATCACTCGGCTTGGTCAAGTCGGGTTGGCGATTTCAAAGTCCAGGTTTCTTCACGATGTTTTCGTTTACATTATGTCAGTGGTCTCTAAATAACCAGCGAAAGTACATATAACTCGGCAACAGACATACTAGTCCTTCCCAAGTTTCGAACACTCGCCCTCATTTAATCAATAATTAATTTAAATAACAATTATGATAAAAAGAAAACTGTATTTGCTTAGAAAACATCAGCCTCGCTGACAACTCCTTACTTCCCTTACATTCGTTCACCGACTCGACAACTGAGAAGACAATTTCCGTCTCAGTATTAAGTTGTACTGTTTGGCGTAAGATTTTCTATTTTCTACCAAGTTTCTAGTTTTCTTTACTCTTCTATAAATCTTATAATAATTGCTTCGAAAACTACTGAAGGTAAAGCGTTTGATTTTAATTAATCTTGTTAAGAAAATACACGGATGAATAAATACGAGTCCCGATGCAATTGCAATTTGCAATGAGGGCAACAGGTTTTGTTTTTATGGAGCAGGTTAGAAAACGGACGGATTGCCTGGTGGTAAATTGGCACCGTCCATGGACTGCAACATCGAAGCGTTATAAGTGCATTTTCGGCCTTTTGGGGATTGGGGATTGGGGATGGTAGATAAGAAAGACTTCAAAGGAGTTTAAATGCCGGGTCCTTCTTTTACTATTTATTTTGTGGTATTATTAAGGTTTGTTTGCAGGTTTTTATACCTGATGAAACTAAAGACTGCTCATAGCAATCACCAAAGAAGAGAATTCAAGTGTAGAAGAAATTATTGAAATCCGTATGGAAGGATTATAGTATTTTGAAGTAACTATACGATATGCAGAAGTATTTAAATAACTATTTCGGGAAATAAACCTGAAAACAATGTTCTGAATGTTACAAAGCTAAAGTTCTATCAGTTCAAAATCGGATAACGTAACGTAACAAAAAAGTACTTGAGACAAATATTTTCTTCTTTTATCAAAGCGCATTAAAGTTATTGAGTGGGAGTTCATACAGACGTCAATACTAAAATAAAGATAAAACGGAGTTAGTGATTAAAGTTCAATTTTGTATAACACTGACAGAAAATTTGATATCTGATCTATAGGTACATTGCAATAAAAGCATTAGGGTATTATTCCTATTTTTAGTCATCTATTGTTAGGTCTGGGAGTCTGCAGTTTGCACTTTAGATTTGACTGGGACGAGAAACCTTCCCTAATGGGTTCTAGACAGTTCCTTCATGTTAAATAGAAAGTTAAGTTGTTCTACTGTTTACATTAAGTACCTGTAGTTTTAGTCTATACTTAATGGACTGTTATGACAACTATTATAATAGTGTGGTTTGACCGGCAGATATTGTTTTAAGGCATTTTATTTAATGTATTTAAGGACAACCAACAAGGCTTACTACATTATACATATTAAACATGCAGTTTAGCGACACGAACATTTATAAGTGTGTTTTTAATTTAAAGGCTGCTACGGCATTTAGTTTACGTTCTACTTATTTTCGTACAGAAGTTTAAAAGTAAAAAATAAAAAAAATATTTACTCTAAAAGTTAGAAAAGATACGTTTCTTGTCTTGGAAATTGAAATAATAATAAAACAATTTAGGAATTTAAGTAAACTTAAAATACATTTTTTATTGTGTAATAGGTAAACTTATTCGTGAAACTATGTATTAATTTACGACGGTGTAATCAACCGTAATTTAGTTAGAAATAGAAATTCTATATTTCCTATGGCGCATTAGAATGCTGTAAGTCATTAGAACCACTTAGTTTATATCAGGCGATCCGCCTTCTCCTATCCCTCCTTATACCATAAAAACAGCGGATTCTTGCAGGCCAAACTTGGAGTTCATTCCTCTTTTGTTGAGGATCCTAGTCCTTTTTCGACCTATCCAGCCGTGGACTCTGAGGAGCTGTACCTATATGATGATTCAGAGGAACATTCAAACTCACCCTTATCACCAGGGTCGAAAGTCTGTCCTGTATCATTTCCTTGCTTCAGTCCTTGGTTTTGCAGGCCCTTCAGTTTTTGGGAAACTGGTATGTTAGGCTTATCTTCTTGTTCTAGATGACCTTGCAAAGAGAAATTCTTGTTTAATAAACTGTATAAGGGAATTTAAAAATATAATATTTTATGTAAGTAAAAAATTAGATTTAAATAAAGCCTTAGTTCTTTGCAGATCCCCTTATAGCAGAGGATAAATTTGGCAAAATTTACTATGTAGGTAAGTAATGTTTTTTATTAATTTTAAAAATGACATTATATTCTTTTTTTTTGTTTATTTCGTTTTAAAGTATTCACATAGGAAATAATTACTAGCCCTTTTTGGTATATAATATCTAGATATCGGATCGGATGGCTATTCGTTATCAAGGCGTATCTTTAATTTAATTAATATTTTATCAAAGTAGTAAGTAAGAATAAAAGTTTAAACACATCCACTACCTATATATACGTCTTAACTCGAATATAGAATAGGTACCAGGCATAGAGGGTCATTGGTACTGGTACCAATACCCGGAGATACCCGGGTATCTCCCAAACCTTAACAGATGAATTGATAAAAAAACTTACCTTGATCGCAGGTTATCAGCCAAGCCAAACTGGCTAACAGCACGCCAGTTACAATGACCTGAAACAACATATACTATTACACATACAGCCATAACATGATGTCAAGCTCAAATATCTGAAGAGTTCTCTTCTAATACTAATTAAATTCAACGGAGTGATATAGTGATCGTGACAAAACAAAGGACAGGTTCGCCATTAAACAAAAACAATAAAATTTTCAAGAAACGAACGAAATGTTTATTTGTTTTTATATTAAGCACAGATCTGCAGGCGGCGAGTAAGGGGAGCTCGCCACTCGACTAGAACCGGACCTGAGCGTACGGCGCATAGCGTTCCTCGCGCGCCTTAAAGAGCCAATAGACCACCACAGACGGGGCCCCATAGGATTGCGGGGCAAGCGCAATAATGTACCGCGGCTTCGGCCCAGAGCAGGAGATGAAACGGGGGTGTTTTTATTCAGTAAGAGTCTGACACTACCTCGCGCCTCACCTTCGACCGGATTTTCACCTTAGAAAAACAACTTTTAGTCCTAACAAACAACTTCGTACAAAATTGGAATTTAGACTACTTGAAATCAGTAAGTATTGAATTTGATTAATGATTGAGTGTCCAATTAGCTGCACCTAAGCTCGATCATTTAGTGATCTGAGTCTGTACAAAGATTTCTTCTTACTAAAACCGCGGAAGCGGTTGCAGGGAAACTTGGCGAGGTTTTTTTATTTCATTTCGTTGAGTTTCATCTTATTCGCTATCAGTAAAAGTTTTCGCGCAGTTGTTGGTTTTCTAAATACCCGGACCTAGGATTTGTGATGGCAGACTTCAATAAACGCTATGTAGATATATAAATTATTAGGTATTTTTTATTTATCTGGTTTCTATGTACGAATGTAATAACATAGATAGAATAAATAAATGCTTTGTAGGTAAATTAAGGTGTCTAATTTTAATTATTATTTTTTACATGAAATGTATTTTGTTGTATTTTTTGGCATCATTCCAGCTTTTAAATGGGGTTTCAAATTGGATATTTGAATTAATTATTATAAACAGGAAACCTAGGTAGGTACTATAATTCACTTTTCAAGCAAATATTTAAAATTATATTTGAGATAGTTTTTTAAATAAAGGTAAGTTCTATTTGAGATATTGTTAAGTTGACCTAACGTCAAAATATAATCTGGTCTATAAATAATATGCGCCTGTGCATTCCTTTATGCCCTTCGATAATTAAAATCAAAATAAGAAAATTAGTACCTAAATAAATTCATAAAAACTTTTGGCATTTTTTTGCCTCGGTACTTAGGACATATTTTAGAATTCATGGGCATTAACAGTATATCTATTTTTTACCTTAAATCTGACTTGAATTTTCAGATAATGTATAAAACTTAAATTTTTCGAACTGTACATAAAGATAGGTAAGTATGGTATAAATGTACGCAAAGCTTTTCTCACAAAGTAACAAATAGTACAATTCGCTGTTATATTCATAAATCTACTTTCATTATCGCAAGCATCAGCCCTTTGACACAGCTAGATATAGGCCTCTTCAAATGTACTAAATTTGAAAGAGGTGACTGATCACCCATTCAACCACCGTAACCTTCAACATTAATTAATAACATGCATTTTAAATAATTATACGTATTGTAATATCGCAATAACATTTGCACATCTTCACACAGGAGACAGACGACCAATTAATAGGAGAGTCTCTAAATCAATTAGGCACAAACAGGGCAGCTGATCTCCATAGCCCATATTGCCAGGAGATATTGTAGTAAGTGCTTAATTAGTGCAAGAGTACTCTCAACGCGCTTTCCACGGTCGTAACATTAGTTTCTAGATTTCAGCGTAATTAAATTAAAGTTAGAAAAAGAAAGAACCATTAGTAGCTTACCGACGCGTATTTTAGAACCCGCTTACAACAATTCATGTTCAGGAAAATTTACCGTAGTAAAAGTATGTACTTATACAAATTCGTTTGTACCTTCGTCGCATACCGAGATTTTTGGCACTATCTTGAGTGTACATCTGACATCTTGATCTATGAATCTTCAATTTGTGGATCACACAGAGATTTGTTCTGAGATATAAACCTGTGTCACTTGTGGGAGAGCCATGAAACAACTACAGCGTTGTGTTACGCGGTTACCAGAGACCCTGGTTACCAAAGCCAAGCCAAAGTAAACACTAGCGCAAGTGCTGCTTTAAGTGTAAAAATTAGGAAAATGATAATTCGCAAATGCGTTTATACGACACATTCCAAGTATCTACATATTAATATGAAATTCGCTGTAAGTCTTAGCCTAAAACCCTGCCAGGGTTGCGGGTCAAGCGCAAGAATTTCCCCCGGCCACAGACTGGAGCAGGAGAAGGAAAGAGGTACTTTTTAGTCAGTAAATGTCTGACAATCCGTCTCGGTTGGTGAATTTTCCCCTCAAATAAAACGACCAATATTATAAACCGGAATTTTTTTACATGTGTAACGGTGTTTGTTGCTCGTAAAAGCTAATTAATAGATGCGTCTGAATAAAGTTAGATTATAGTCTATGATAATACACATGATACTTTTTATCCTTTGTATAAGTAGAGGACAAAATAGCTGGCAAAAACTAGTCTTTCTTATTTTAAAAGATTTCGGTTAGGTATATCGTGTAACATAACAACAGAACACAACTTACCTAAACCCTAAACTTTATTGCTTTAACATTAAAGTCGAATATCCAATAATAAATCTTAGAGATAGGTGTAAGTTGACCTGCATACGTACACATTTAGTTGTCTGATATAGAAGTTTTTTGCATACTAGTATAACTCCCGCGTCAGAAGTGGGTTTACACATATCTATCTAAGTATATCATTTCATATCCACAACACACTCAAACCAGGAACAACAATTTGTTGTTCACACCACACAAAGAGTTGAAGAAGTCTTTTAAAACTTTAGTCAGCAATAAAATCAATGTGTCAACACAAAGCATTTTCATTATCAAGATTCTTATTAATTTTAAGTACCTAGACTTTCGTAAAATAATCGAAAAATCGTTTCTATTCGTAATGTCATTACATCGCAGTTAACATCAAAAAAATTCGACTTAAGTACATAGATGGCAGTTGTGACTATTAACATTGTGTTACTAAGCAGAAATGAAAAAGAAAACAATTCAAAAGCTCCTAGTTCCTTAAGAAAAGCAAGAATTTCATTTGTTTTTAAATAAATTATACTACATTCATTTTAAAAAGGTTCGTCACTACATACCTACGAAGCGAGTCACTTTTTATTAGATATATTAGTTATGTGATTGGATATGGATTACCCGATGGTAAGCGCCGCCCATGGGTACTCGCCACCAAGGAGTTACGAAATCGTGGTCGTCCTTTAGGGGATTAAGGGATTGGGGAGGGATGGGTGGAGGTGGAGGATTGTGCGTCCGGTGACCACACTCATACGGCGAAACACAACGCTGTAGTTATTTCACGCCGATTTTCTGTGAGGCCGTGGTATCACTCCAGTCGATCGGACGTAATTGCGCCGCGACTTAAATTTTATCAAATCTAAAAGCTACGTGTTATAAGGTAAATTTTTTCTCACCACTAAACGTGGCCACATTTTACTTTTCATTGAAATTTTTATCGCGTCGTAAAAGGACAGTGCCTCTTTGTTAACATAGTTGCAAGTGCAATCGCCCAGCAAGCACCCTCGCGTTCAATTTCTATGCCAAGCAAAATTTACTTGGCGTTCCTTAAAAGAGAAGTTCGTTTTAAGAAAATTTCAGAACTTATTTCTAATTGTCATGTTTTCTATGAATCATGTAATTATCATAAACACTCGTCCTTGTTGTAGTGGGACTATTTTAGAATCAAATCGAATAAAATTATTATAACGGCAGAAGGGGTCACCAGCGACGTCGAGTTGTAGTAAAAGTACCTGGGTACTTCATCACCAACTCGACAGCAAGTGAAACTTCGCTGTAATCGCAATACATTTCCCATCTTTGGCTTCTAAGTTGGAACGGACTGCTTCCTTCGGTAGGGTCCTATTTCGGATCCGGCGGGAGAAAACGGTGGAGCAAAAGGTAGCGGTGGCTTGAGCATCGCTGTGTTCTCCTCTCTTTCTGCAAAGCAGTGATAATCGCAATGGAGGAGGTGGAACGTAAGGAAACTATCCTGCTCACGCACCAGCCGCCGCAGTTAGGTTAAGACCAAAAGACCACCACAGACGGAGCCCTACAGGGCTTTTGTTCAGCCGGGGTTACGGGCTAGCGCAATAAGGTGTCGTGATAAGGCTCCGGCCTAAAGGCGCAGTAGAAGGAACGGGGACGTTTGCAGTCAGTAAGAGTCGGGCATTCCCTTCCGCCTCACCCTCGGCGAGATAAGCCATTGTATGATTTTCACCTTACAAAAAAAAATGTAGCTAGGGTGTAAGAGCAAGGTGCAGGCGCGGTGTTGTACCGCGGCCCGGTAGGAGCAGGAGAGATAATGGGTTGGTTTAGGTATATACTTTATATATGAAAAAACAACAAAAGAAGACTGGTAAAAATTAGATGAGGGTTTTATGATTGATAAAAAAATGTGACGTTATTTGTGTTATAATAGGGAAGTGTTAAAAGTAGACGCCCACCATAAACAAGTTGAGATTGCAACATAAACCACTACAAACAGGAAAAAACACGCGTACGGCGTGGACACAGAATAAAAATTAAAAGAAATATGCGGCCGTCGTCGACCAGGAGTTGCTGAAGTTTGGAGATTCACTAAAAGTCTGACACTCCGACTCGCTGCACTCAGCGCTGGAGGAGACATTCGATTACCGCCTCAAAAAAAGTATCGTTATCAGAAAACGTCAAACAATTTTTCGCAGTAAGCCGACAAAGGAAAATTTTTGAAGCACCAATTACATAGATTCGCAAATGTCAGTTAGTTTTACAACGGATCGACAATCAAGATCCATTAACCTGTGCCTGTGAGTGGAATGTTCTTGTTTATTTTTGTTGTACACAAAAGGACATACCGATACGGGTTGAACTCTCAACTCTTAACTTGGTAATATCAATCAGAATCCGAAGTTCCTACCAACACAGACGGTATCGAGAAAAGCCTCAGTACCGAACGAGTTGGTATACTTGCCATCACACAATCTGATTCTAAAAACTTTGATTAAACCGTAAAACCTGTGCACTCTATTCCAAGGAAACTGAATAATTAAATTTGTACTCTATGAAACTAACAACAGCACATGAAATTCGACCTAAAGTGTATAGCTTTTGTATCTTTTCCCTGAAACATGTTTGAGATTATTAAGGCTCCAATCGGCATGTCAGAATTCACGTTTGATTCATTTTGAGCTAATATAGTCAGCCTTTGTCAATATTTGTGTCATAGCTCTGTGATGACCACTTGATTGTACTCCGGTTCTAGCTATGAATTCCATTATTAATTGTTGTAAATTAATATTACCTAACTTTGCTTTGCCAATTATGTTGAACATTTATAAGCACTCAAAGAGTTCTTATAATAAAGGATGAGGTAGACAACCCTATTTTTGTCAATTTTGTAAGTGGGTTCTTACATTTTGATTCAGTCTATGAGTTGGGTAAAACTCCGACAGCATAATATGGTGTATTCTATGACATAGATGGGCAAAGGGTAGCTGCTGTGGAAGCATTGCAAAGCATCACACCTGCTAAAGTCGATTTTAGACAACTTAGATAAAACCCGGGTCATTGTTTCGATATTTTCTCTAGTATTATGTGCCAAAATATGAAAGAGTAAGTAGTAAACAAACTAACTAAGCTGAGGACGAATGAATAGTCGAACACAGCGAACTTTCACCTTTTGTTGTAATTCAAATGTTGTGTTAGCTACAGTATTTTTGGTGCAACATTTAATATATATCACAATGTGTTATTCCACGAAAGTTGAACAGGGCTTACTGCATAACGACTCCCGCTTCGTTTTTGATATCTACCTTGTTAGAGAGTGTCTAATTCAAAACATTGGACAATGTTCTAAACTATAAACTACATAGGTAGTCGAGTTACCCTCTATGTGTGTGTAATAAACATTTCGAAATTTGAATGTGTGGTAGGTAATTATATTTTCGGCTGCGAATTAACGCGATTTCGCGTTTAATAACCCATAGTCATAGGAGATTGCAACTTGATTCAAATTAGATAAAATTTTTGGAACAAGAAACAAACCTGAACAAATCTAGTCTGTGTATTCAACAAGTTTTCAGAAACTCTCCTTAATGGTAAGCTGAACAATGAACATTGTATTACGTGCAGTGCACTGAATTCGTATATTTGATAAAAATGTTAGATTCAAACTGACTACGGAGGCAACTCAATGCTTTCTTGATCGTGTTCCTTCTAGCGAAAAACTACTTGTAAATATATCATATGTAAGTACAGAGGCCAACAGGTCAACCTACCCTAGTCAGCCACTGTTTTCATTCGACCTTCAACTTTATATCAAAACAATAAAATTGAAAATGTTAAAAAGAAATTTGACAGAAAGGAGTATAGGTTGCCAAGCTGACGTCACTAGATAGCTGTGTATAATGACCTAACATTATGAAGCATACAGCTTTGTCTGAACATGACAAGCTAATTTGGTGGTTGATTTTCAAAATACGTGATACATTCAGTACATATCAAGGTACCTAAATTACAACAGAGTATGAAACATAGTAATGAGCGTCAAAGCGACATCTGGACAGTTAACATAATCTGTGTAATTCCGCAGTAGTATTGAGTGGATTAACAGAACCGCCATAGTAGATTTTAATTCGATTTAATTGATTTTTAATTTGAGCGAAATTTAATTGATTTTGCCGATTGCCGAAGCATCTACTTAACTGTCAAAACTGTCAAGTTATTGGTGTTGGCCTAATTAAAAAGCAAACTTTCGTGTTAAAAACTCTTTATATCACGCATTGACGTCCCTTATTGTTCCAGATAATATATTCAAGGCTTGTTTCCCTACCCTCAGATAAATGCTCGATGTTTATGGTAGCACATACAAAATTCGTTCTATTTTTAAATTTCTCATCTTCTTCTCTTCTTCAGTTACGTGTATAATATTATATCGTATGCGCGTATCTTCTTCTGCTTATGTATAAAAATGAATTTCTGTTCGTTAGTCTCGCTAAAACTCGAGAACGGCTGGTCTGTTTAGGATAATTTTGGTCATAAAATATTTGTTGACATCCTGAGACGGTTTAAAATTTTAGGACATATAGTTATATTTGAGAGGGCTTTCGGTCAGCTAGTAATATTTTTTTTTCTTTTTTACTATCGAGAAAAGAGATGTGGTATCCAAAAATGTACCTACTTATTAATTGGTCGCCTTTACGGACCACTCGGCCAGTCGATCACTGACGCTATTAATAAAATCTGATACCAGCCATCAGTTTGCATTTTAATCATTTCCTTAAAAACGACTCTTAATGTTTCACGGCAAAACGAAAAGCCGCTTACGCGTTAAAGTAATATTAAAACTGAATTTATAACATGTTTTATAACGTGGTAGGTAGGAAGGTAAACTCGTGCTGGGATTTCATCAAATAACATAAAATATTAATTATAAAGGCAATAACCAATCTGGCTACTAGAATCTGGTATGCACAAACACAAAGGCATTCCTCATTAAACATGCACATTGTTTTAACGTATCAAGTACAATTAATATTGTAACCAAATATTTATTCATAAAATAATGTTTTGTCACCACATCGTTGACAAAACAGTGGTTTATGGAATTTTCACTCGCTTTACCATTTAATATATTATTTTTATGTAGGTAGGTATGTATTTACCAATCACGGGACCACAAATTTCCGGCCAATTGGTTGGCGTACCAGGGGCCGAAGCCAACTGCGCAGAGGCCCTTCAGACAACTTAAGTCTAAATGAAATGGGATACAAACCGTCGACTATCCCTGTATGCACTATTAAAATGCACACAAGGACAGTCTTGGTTAGTCTATGATAATAGAAACAAGGGATAAGGCTATGAGCGTAGATTGCTATGGACTGGTAGATATGGTTGGAATTATGAAAGAACTATGGCACCTGCCGAAACAATGTGTTAAATACACGTAAAAATGGCAGGTGGAGACTCGCCAACTCATCGATCCGAATGTACCTAACATTATGTGGCAAATATGTCAACATGGCCTGTGCAGTTATTACAGCAGCTCATTCCCAATTTCCCACCATCTTCTAAGCATGTAAATAGCTAAAATAAACCAGCCGTGCTGTATCTACAAGAAAAGCCTGGAGGACGATGCTAAACCTTTTAAAAGAAGTTTTGATTTTCGCCGGTTTTCTACAAGGGCACCATGCCCTCATCATCATCAGTTGGTCGAGCTAAACAGTTTGTATGGAAGGACTTGAAAATCAAAATGCAAGTATTTATAAAAAACAACGTGACCTTTACATGATAAAGGATATTTAATTACAATGAACACATCGAGTATCTAGTGCTAAACAACTAAGTGATTAGCGGACACGAGTACCTACACAGACTTTTTAAAATAAAAAGGTAATTTCAAAGAAAAATCAGTGCTTTGATATAATTAATCCTTTCTTGTTAATTAATCTGCTTAGGTATGATATTAAGAGTGGGTTTGAATTCTTTGACTCAAAGAGTGTAGGTCTGTGAATCCTGAGAGCAGTTGACCACGGCCAGTACCTGCATATTTCTGCGGCTTCTCTTTTCTACTTCTACCGCTATGAAGTATTAGGAGACCATGATCAATAATAATACTCTCTACTGATTAAAATGTCATTTCGCTAATTCTGGTTCAGTTTTAACTGGCTTTGATCTTATTGTACGTACTCGTAAGTCTTTATAAAATGAGTTTGTACATATCAAAAATGAAAACGTGTTTGATGAGCATTAATGCCGAAAATGTAATTGCATATTATCATTGTTGTTTTACCAAATGTGAGATATTGATAGTCAACCCTCTAAATTTGCCA